TTAAGATTGCTCCGTTTATTTTCTCCCATGAACTTACATAGGAAAATCTGCCTGAACTCAAAAAACTAGCAAGATGCTTCGTAGGTGAGCATGAGTTATTCTCAAAAAATAATGTTAGTCCAGTTTTGTTTGAGTTATTCATATTGTCTGCATTGAAGTGTAGCAGTTCCTTTCTAGCAGTAGAAAAATACATGTTAGAAATGTAGAAAGACCAATGTGAATTTTTGGTTGTATAGTAATGCATATAAATAATATTTATTATCTGTTACTTTTGTGGGGTCTGAATGTAAAAGCTAGATTGACAATTATCTCTTGCGCACTTCTCAACCACTGCACAGTGCTTGAGTGTGCTGAGAAGCAAAGCACGTTATTGCATTACATGGACGTGCTTAAAATTAATACAAATCCTCCAAATGCTGAAGAGAATCAGATGTGTTTTATAATCAAGCTTTGCTTGTATGTGCTGCCGAGGGAAATATGTCATGCTAAGAGCAGAACATGAATGATGGACAAGGAAATCCGCTTGCGCTCAGCACACGGCACTGACAGCGTAACCACAGTGCGTGGCTTCCATGGAGCCTGCTGGTTATTGCTGCTGGGGTGCTTTACCTACATGGCTGTTAGAAATGAACGTGCCTGCAACCTCTGGAAGCACGGAGCAGAGAACATGCTGAGTTGGAGGGAGGACCCACTGAGTCCACCTCCTGGCTCCTGACATCTCTTCTTCAGCAGAAACAACACTGTTGTGGACTCTGAGGACTTGTTACTTTAAAATCCCATAGATATTTGTATTAACGTGTGCTACTATTAAAAGACAAAATCAGGAGGTAATGGCTGTAATTTGGGGTAGGAATAGAAAAGGAAAAGGATTATCCACAACCTGAATAGCCCTTGTCATATGGAAGACCTAATATCTGACCACAAAAAATGTGGCTTTCCTGCAAATCAGTAACAAATTTTGCCCTGCAGGGATGTTTCTCCAGCCATTAGTGAGTGTCCCAACTGCTTTGCAACTCCCCGCCAAGTAGCTGTAGGCTGCTGTTAAAATTCCCCTATGTTGCAATTCTGTTTCAGGAGCATATTATAGCAGTTAATTTCGGGGTGGCAGAATGAAAATAAATGGATTGTCTATTAGTTCACTCCACGTTGGAGTGGTTGAATTACCCATTTAATTGAGAAATCTTAATGTTTCTGCTTTCTGTTGATGTAACTTGCCTTCTTTAGCTTCTGCTAGGGAAGACTTGTAGCACTAAAAGTGCAAGTTGTTGTATTTTCTTATTTTCTCAGAGCTTGTGTAATCTTTTCAAAAGGAGAAATTCTTTTTTGCTAAGAGGGGAGGTGGTCATGAAGTCCCTGCAGCACTGCAGAGTGCAGTGCAGGTATGGAGGTGCTGCTCTGTCCTGCTGTGTAAAGTGAAGGTGGCTCCACTTGCAGAACGGAAAAATATTTGCCTCCACAAACCACCAAAGGCAGAAGGAAGATGGATATATTTTACATCTTGCAAAGCAACCTTGTGTGTTTTAAATGCACATCTCATTCCCCACGTTTACAGGTGTTGCATAGAACTCTGGTATATTCAGTTATTATTTATAACTGATTAAGCTCAATCCTTTTTGCGAAAGGATGCTAATCTGGTTTGCTGAGACAAGTACTTGTCTAATGAGTGTATTGTCACTCTGTTTGTCATACCATAATTCACATAAAGAAGCGATAAACCATCTCAGTTAGCAGGAAGTATTTGGAAAGCAGTCATACTATAACAGAGAAAGGGGGATATGCACAGCTTGTAGAACAGTCAGCAGTAGCTATGAAGTACTTGTATTTAATCCTTGTGTCAGCCAGTAATCAGATTTTTTTTAAAATGAGTACAAGCTTTAAAAATTATTAACCTTTAGTAATGTTTTATGCTGTATAAGTCTCAAAGGGAAGGGATATCCCATTTATTCTACATAAATCCAAGCGCCATTCTTGTGTCACCTCTGTGGCAGTGCTGAACAACCAGCACGTAGTTCTGTGTTACGTGGAAACATTTTAGAAGGGGAGGAGGGAGCCAACGATAATATCAACTCTAGAGAGTTTCAGTGGCTGCTGGGAATGCAGTCATTTTTCCTGATTTGAAATAAAATAAAGAAACAATAAGCGAAATTTGATGTCATGGCAGTTAAGTTCTGCAATGTATACTTGCATTGATCAGGAAATGGATTTATGGTATTTTAAACCTTGTAAAAGTCCACATAATTTAATTGTTAATCTCAGGTCAGCAGAACATTAACATCATCATATCTGAACTGCAGTGTCCTGAAATCCCCCAGCTCCTGCTATTAGAAAAAACCATTCCCATCAGTTCGTGACCCTCTTGAAGTTGTTCCCAGCCTGCTGAGGCTTTACCTGTTGTTCCATAGCCTGCTGCAGGCTATGAGAGCCTCTCTGAATAGGCAGTCCTCAGCTGATGCTTTGGTGATGGGGGGACGCCTGCTTTTAATGTGGGATACTAATGCTACTCTGAGCTGCATTATCAGCCCTGAGACATGGTATGATTTCCCCTTGTTTTTCATAAAATGTGTGAAAGTTGCACCGGTTTCCTTTAGATGTGGAAATTCCAGGTTTGAATGTATCAGCTGCTTTATTTGTCACTGGTTTTCTTTCTTTCCTCATTTTATCACCTGTTATTGTAGTATGCAGCTCCATTGTATTTCACTTTTCAACCTTAATGCACTTTCACTGTCCTGAGCATATTTTTAATTAATGTCATCTTGATGTTTTTAAGGCCTGTTAGTTTTGAAGTGCAGTTGTTGCAAGTGCTTAAATCTTCAAATGAAAAAAAAATAATAATTAAAAAAAAAAGAACAGAACACTCTGCAGAGTGGCAAAAGGCTTGTAAAAAGAAGCACACTTAATGCATTAATGCCTCTCTGCTGTAGAGAGGCTTTGATCCATGGAGGTCTACAGGCATTTGTCTCCTACAGCAGGATCTGGTTCTGTGCCTTTGATAACACAAGCTAGGGAACTTGACGTGAGTTTTTTGAAAGAAGGAATACTGGAAAAACCTCTTTGGAATAAGCTGGAAAGTGAAGGCATGGGTGAAAGAAGCAGAAATATGTCTTGTTAGCATTCTGCTTAGGGCTTATCTTGTTTGGCTGTCATGCAGTGCCCACCTGGGGACACCTCAGACAGGGTGAAAAGCAGGCTCACCTGCGCTTGCACCTCAGGGGAGATTCCTGTGGCAGCATCACGCATTATGAAGCCACTTGGTTTTGTTGGAGGAATCTCGGTTAATTATTCATTGTGAACTGCTCGTTGAACTTGTTACTTGCAAAGACTTGCACATTTTGAGCTGGTTCATAAGCAGAGGATAATATTATGAGGGCATCACATTTAAATACTGTATGACTGCTTGCTAATTACTTGCTTACTGATCCGCAGAAGCAAACAGAAAAAACAGGCATTAAGCGAAGCACTCATCATTAGTGAATAGTCCCACCACATGGAAAGACATGGAAAACATTAGGGAAATTATGCTTTTTAAGAGTAAGGTACACTTCTTTAGTTGCTCCCTTTTACTTTGAATGATTTTTGACTGGGGACCTTGCGATACTCAGAGTGCATGGACTACTGACATTTTATGTGTAACTGGGCAATATTTTCATTTGTATAACACAAGCAAAACCCAACAAGATACAAACACCTTGCATCTAAGTGCTCTGCTAGTTATCACTAACACACCTAAGTGCAGTGTGGAAATGCAGGTAACGGTGACTCAGCAGACGGCTGAATAAGGACACATGGAAAAGAGCCACAATATCCAAGAATAGAAACATGCATTTTTGCACTTGGATGACCTTTTATATCCAGGAAATAGTAGTTCTGGAATTCTTGATCAGCCCTCCGACCAGCTTGTGCCCGCTGTACGTTCTGCGGTTAACGGCTAAGAACAGCTCCACTCACGTATGCATTTGGTCAGTAAACCCCTCGGATATTATCTAACAATAGTTCTGATAGATTGTTAAAGCCCTCTGTGCTAAAGCTGGAGACAGTAGTTACAAGAAAAAAAATCACTTTCTAGGAGTAGTTCCTATTATGCTAAGAACGATTATGCTCATCACCCTTCCATTCTGGAAGAAGGGCCGTTTATTTGACAGGACATCTGGCAGAAGGCAAACTCAAGAACAAGTAGTTCCAGAAAAGACAAGCAGACAGTCCAACGTGAAGGCTGTGCGTATGGAACTGCAGCCAGACTCTTCTGTCTCACACACTGACACCTACTTGTAGCAATTATGCAGAGTAATTTAATTGCTGAAAAGTTTTAAATGATTCTTCTGTTCCACAACTTGTATGTGCTGAACACATAATGACTTGATTAGGCTGAGGAGAGGCTCGGATCAGTAAAATGATGGTTATGTGGTTGTGTTTTGGTGCAAGAAAAAGAACCGCTTGTGTCTGCATAACCCAGGCAGGCACAAAGTGCACCTTTTTTGCATCCCACATTGTGCAAGTGTTCTTTTAGAGCCTATTCCCTGTGGGTTCAGTGTTGTTCTGTGCTGTCAGTGGGGATTTTATTGTCAGGTTCACTGAGAGAAATAGGTAGAGCTCGAAATAAGCAGTAAATGAAAACTGAAAATAGCCGTGGCTTGGAGTGAGACTGTACCGACACCGTGAGGCGTGAAGTCCCATTAACCTCAGCCCTACACTTTCAGCAGGAAGAGTAAAGGGGCCAAAATATGATTCGGGATGAACAGTGTCTAGTTCTGCTGAGGCTGGTCTACAATAATCACCAAAAGTACAATATGGTTATCTGATCATATCTGCCCCAGCTAGTTTCTCCCTAAAATCATGAGGTATTTTTGTTACTTGCTTGAAATCTATAAATTTATTAAATGGATCGTTCTGGTTAGGTTGGAAAATCAATCTGAGTATGAAATTGCTTACCAGAAAGTAATTATCATTGTAAATGTTAATTATTCCTGGCCTTGTTTTTGTGCGTGTGTCACGATATCTTGCAGAGACTCAAGGAATTGAAGCAGAGGGAGTTTGCTCGAAATGTAGCATCGAAGTCGAGGAAGGATGAAAGGAAACAGGAAAAGGCCCTTCAACGTTTGCACAAGTTAGCTGAGCTGAGGAAAGTGACAACGTGGTAAGTGCGTGGCTACTGAAACACAAAGAATGCCTTAAAATAATCCCTCAGCTATTTGCTGAAGACCTGGGACACTGGGCTACTGGAATCCCCCAGCTGGAGCCCTGCATGCGTGGTTTTATGACATTTCTGAAGCAGTGTGTGTACAGTAATTTGAGTCACACTGTGTGAAGAAATGTTTAACCTTTTTTTTTCTAGTGGAGCTAAAATGACATGTATTTTTAGTTGAAAAAGATATTTCATATATATATTTCTTAAAACCAGGCGTATTGGTTGAAAGCTTAGTGAACTAGGTCACACATTTGAAGGCTGACACTGCTCCATTGATGAGGTGAGGAATACAGAATCTTTCTAGGATGTAACAGACTTCTGTGATTTAGCTTTCAAACTGCTTGCCTGGGAAAGCATCCAGAAATCTCATCTTAAATCTCAATAACTGGATTTTTTTATGTATATGTTAAAAGGTAAGTGCTCCTTTTCCTCATCTCCACAGAATGTTTACTTCTCACTGCAGAGGTATTGCTAGTCATACACGCTGCTGCTGAATCTAGGCATACTATTGAAATTAATATTGAGATTGCTGACTGTGACTCTATTCTTATTTGTGCACTTTTGGCACTAATTATATATATACCAACTTGAGTTTCCACAGTGGAACCTCAGGGGGAAAAGTATATGCTAAAATGCCAATTTTATCCAAGCTTCAGCTCACCAGATGATCTATCAGAAGAGTCAGCCCATATGATTCACAGTTCTTGCTCAGTGATTATTCCTCCATAGCATGTATGGTGGGCAGCATGCTGACATCAGGTTTCTCTAAGCAAGTGGAGGTGACATGGAAGCTGTAAGGTCTGTTTGGTAAGATCAGTGTAGCACCTTAGTTATTCATTTACTTACCTTTTGATGATAAGTCACGTGGAAATGCTTTTTCTTCCCTCAGTGTTCTAACTGTCCAGATTTAATACTCAGCAAACATGGTTTTTATGCTCCCAGCTTTAGATATCGTTCTCCCTAAGAGTATTAGAAAACCTGTATGATATAATTCAGGACAAAGAGGTAAAAGAAACACAAAAAAGCACAGATTTTGTAGGTGTTTGTTCTATCCATTACTTTTTTTTCAGAGTCTTCCTAATCACTGGTGAAGAATTTCTCTGAACTCTAATAGTTGCTGTGCATTGCTACTTTCTGTCCTTAGAGGTATGATACAGACACAATTTTAACTAGTGTTTTCTAGATTTGTTTTGGATAAAAAGTCACTACTTTATTTTGTTGGTGAAAGAATGTATGTGGTACATTTGTCATTATTTAACGCAACACTTCTTGGTGTCCTGAATCATATTTGCAAGTTTTTCCAGTGACCTATCATCCAGTAGTGCTCTGCATTGCACTGTAAAATACAGAATAATTGGGCTAAACCAAACCAAAATTAAAAGAAAAAAAAAAAAAAACAACAACCAAACTGATGTGGTTAGGTTCATTACTCCTAGTGCTGACCAGTTCCAGTGAATCCCACCAAACTGCCAGCTTAAGCAGTTTTTTTCTTCTCTTTACTTCCTATTAAGTCATATAGAACAGATGGGGAGAGTATGAGATGAAGAACAGAAGTAGACAGTGATAAATTTTTTCTCAAGAGGGATGAATCACTTGTGCACTACTGTCAGCTGAAATACTTTTCCTGGTATTATTTTTCCATGAAATAAATGGCTGAGCTTGCAACAGGTCTGAGAACACAAATAGGGAAGGAACTGCTGGGTGATTGCCTGTGGGAGGAGAAGCAGTTGCTGGGATCATGACTAAGAGAGAATTGATATCTGAGGTACTCTCTCCTTTAATATATTTTGTAGCACATAGAAATATAAAGCCTCAGCTGTTTGTAGTAATAGTAGCATAACTGTGATGGCATGCTGGGAGGAGAAGCAAGGTTTCTAGGGAAATATACGGTCTTTTATTAGTTCAGCAAGTACATTTAGGGGAATAGAACTATATGAGATTATTAGCCCTCTGTCCGATGACCTCACACGAAGGAACTGTGAACAAAATACTTACCTTTTTTAAGCAAATCCTATAGTGAAATAAGAGACTTTCTAAATGTGCGTGTCCATAGATTCTTCCTCTTTTCTTAAAAATCCTTTCAGTACCAATGTAACGCTTTGTGTATGCCTCCAGTCCTCTGAGAGGTTCTTACTCTGAGTCTTGTTTGCCTTCCTAGTGCTCCTGGAAGTGGACCTATGTTCAAATCCACAACAGTGACTGTGCGGGATAATTCCACTGATATCCCACAAAGCACTGCTATAGATTCTTCCAGCAAACAAGATTTCAGCTGTACGCTGATGCACAATACACAGAATTGCAAAGATGCTACTTCAGATATTTCTTCCACTCCTGAAAATGCATGCAGTAATACATCCCGAACTAACAAATTTGGAGGTCAAGTTCAAGGAGCTCGAGGACATAGAGTTGGCTTCTCCTTTGCTTTTCCTAAGAAAGCAGTAGTCAAACTGGAGTCTTCAGCTGCTGTTTTCTACGAATATAATGACGAAACATCTATGGAGAATGGACTTAGCAGAAGAAGCAGATTTTTCCCAGGAGCTTGTAATCTTCAGTCTCCGTCAGCAACTGAAATAGTCCTGTGTCCCGAGGAGAAACAGGACTGTTTGCACCCACTGGTGGAAAGATGCACTGACACAGCAGAAGATCCTGAAAATCAGGAATCAAAAGAGCTAGCCAGTCAAGAAAACAGAGAGCTAGAGAACCCTGCATTAATTCCTACTGTTTCCAATTCAAAGCAGCTAGTGTCTTCTGACATGGAGGACTGCAGTACTGATGCCTGTGCTGTGGATGTACCGGGTCAAACGCTGTCTGTGGCTGTGGACAGTGCTCGAGTTCTGCCCCCGGACTGCAGCAATTGTGAGCTGCTGGGAAACGGAGCTGTTGCTCAGGCTGCTGTGGAGGATTGCTCATCTCTGCAGGACACTGCTGAGGAAAATGGTAAAGATGGGAACAGTGACTTAGTTACAGGTGAAACTGAAATAAAACTGGGGACAGAGACGTTAGTTCCATCGCATTCTGAAGATGGCTCGAGAGTCCCCCGGAGCAAACTGGACACACGCAAGAGATCTTGTGAACCGTTCGTTCCTGTTCTTAGCAAGCATGGATCAAACATTCTTCAGTGGCCATCAGAAATGCTAATTTACACAAGTACAGACCCATCCATTTCTTACAGCTGCAACCCTTTGTATTTTGATTTCAGGTCATCAAAAGCAAGTGATAGTCAAGAAAAACCCAAGCATCAGGCAAACGTACCTAATTTGCACCACACAACTGAATCCAACCATAGCTTAGTCTCAGATTTTACAAACAAGCCTACTTCAGAATGTGGTGATCCTGAAGCAGAAATAAATAGAAGTGCATCTGACTATACAATACCCCTCGTAAGTGATGCTTCCCTCATCAGAAATTCTGATCTTGCAAAAAATGAAAATAAAGTGGCCTTGGGTGAGTCATTCAGGATTAAAAAGCTAGAAAAGTGTCACATTTCAAAAAATCACTTACGACAAAATGCTGTGATAGGTGAGAAATATAACAAAGTTTGGATCAAAGAAAGTCATGAAAAATGGCTTCACAAAAGTAGGAAACGGAAAAGGAGAAGAAAATTGTGTCATTGTCATCACCATCATTATCATCCTTGTGGGGAAGCAACAATTGCAGAAATGGAAATTTCCTCAGTTATAGAAAAGCAAATGAATTACAGAGATGAAAATAAACATCAGCACTTCCAAAACACCCCAGAGAAGTGTAGATACGATGCAGGGAATATCTGGATAGCTTCGGATGAGGTACAACAGTCTCATCAAAAAGCTGATACTGAAAATGGTCATAAAAGAGTCCTGGCCACATCAGATCACCTCCATGTGGGCAGAGGCGTATGTGACATCTGGCATACAAAAAGTAGGGACCAACGCAGTGCTTGTAAACCTCTGCATAGAAAGAGAAAAGCAAGCTCTCGGAGACAGTTGAGGCAGCTGGCTCGAACTTGTAGGAGGCACAACTGCCTGTGCTCCAAAACCTGTTGTAGCTGGAAAGTCAGGAGGTTGAGCTGCAGCTCAGAGCATAAATGTTTAGGGCGCTGCAGTGAAGAAAAGAGTCCAGGCCACCATCAGTCCATAAAGAGAGGTTACAGCTGCCTGATGGATGAACCGGAAGGCTCCCACAGGAAGCGGAGACAGCACACCTATTCCTGTTCTTCAGATGAAAGTTTGTACAGAGAGGCGTGCTTGGCAGAGGAGTATTTCAGGCAAGCGAGTGTTGTAGGTATGCATCACAAGGCAAAAGGAAAACACAGGAGGAGGAAAACTAGAATCAGTCACGTATGCATTGACAGGAATGAGAGAAGTGAGGCCTCCAGGCCTTGTAAAGAAAACTCTGCAAGTTCCACATTAGACGTTCTGGGAGAACTCTTGACTCAAGACGACACAGGGGATACTATCATGAATTCCAAAGCTGATCTTGCAGAAGATGCAGATGAAGCCATGCAGCTGGAGGAAAACAAGGCATCTGTGCCAATGGGTGATGCACATGTTCTGGAACAAGACAAGCCAACAGACTGTGCAGCACCAGAGAGCGTGCTGGGCGTGCTTTCGGACATTGCCACACATTGTGCTGCTTCTGTTCCTGAGCAGGGTGCTCCTGCAACTGCAAGCACACAAGATGCTCTGAAGGATGAAAAGAAAAATGAAAATGCGAACAGCCATGAAAGTCAAGCTCGTTATAAAGCTCCACCGCCCACCAGACATTTGGACCAGGCTCCCCCAAAATCAGTCCTTTGCCATTACGAGTTGGCTGATTCTCTGCCACATGAGAAGATAAATGAGGTGACCGGTGACTGGGTACAGTGCAACTCAGGCATATTTAACAGCCCACCACCCTTGCCATTCAAAGAAGCACACCTCAACAGCCACACCTTCTTAGCTACAGAGCAGCTGATAGCCCCCTTTACCCTTCCCGACCAGACGCTGATATTCCCTCCAGATAACCACGAAAAATTCAAAGACCTCCCATCCGAGGCATACCAGCAGCTCGTGCAACAGAACATGCTGGCCAGCAAGGTGAAGTTTACCCTTCCTCCCCCGGCCATGCAGCCCCCCAGCTCTCCGTTGCAGCCTCTGCCTTTGCAGCCACCGCTGTGCTCTACCTCGGTCACCACCATCCACCACACCGTCCTGCAGCAGCACGCCGCCGCCAGCGCGCTCAAGGCCCTCCGGCCCCACCAGCACTTCCTCTCGCAGGTCCCGGCCCTTGCCAGAGCTCCTTTACCTCATCTGCCCGTAGGGCCCAGGCTTTGCCCCGGGGGCCCCGCAGCCTTCGTGGCCCCGCCGCACCTGCCGCTGGTGCCGCCTTCGGTGCTGCAGCCGGCCCCGCTGGCCTTCTCGCCGCTGCCGCACGCCGTGTTCCCCTCCCTGCTGTCCCCGCACCCGGCCGTCCTGCCGCTGCAGCCCCTCTTCTAGGATGGGTTCCTGGGGGGCAGGGAGCCTCCAGATGGATGGACGTGGGGTTCCCGGCACCCCTCGGCTTCGCGAGCGGTCCTGTGAAACAAACTGGTTGAAATCCCTCTTTCCTTGGGAAGTATTTACTGTAAGTATAGTGATGCAAACATCCATGAAAAGCTCCTGTCCCGTGTAAAGACCTATCCTATAAGTAAAGCACTGAATAGTCTGATACCGATATGAACTATATATATCAGTAAAGCTCATGTCGTAGAATATGTATAATGTATGTAAAATATATTTATAGATCTATAACTTCTGTTGTAAAGTATTCACTTTTTGTTTTTTTATCCTTGTGTATTTGCACCTATTTAATGTTTAGACAAAGCTGATGCACTATGTTTTGTACTATGTTCTCTGAAACTGTAAATCTAGTGACAAACTATCTCTTGCAATAAATTTTTGTTAACTACTTAAGTATATAAAAAATCTTTCATTATAAGCCTCACGGATGTTGTCGCTCTATGTTCTTCTGCATCCTCTACCCCTGCTGTGCTGGGATAATCGGGTTTCCTATCTTTCAGTGATTTATCACGGATGCTCAGAGGCTAATACCTTCAGGGCAGCTGTCTCACTGAGCAAGAGAGAAAGGGTAACAGATCCGTTTGTGTTAGCAGTTTGATGTCACTGTGACAAATTTTGCCTTCTTGTCGTCTTCTTGCACAGACTGCTGACTGTTGGAGCTAATCCCTTTTCTACTAAACCACAAAAAGACCGCGTAACGAAAATAACATCAGTGGTAGAAGAAAAAAGAATGGATCAGCAAGTGGTTTGACTTGCAAGGGAATGTTTCTTATGATGAAAACATGCAGCACAGAGAGCCTTATTTCCATCAAACCTTCAGCTGATCTCCATTTCTCATGCCTACTTTTTGCACACGTGCAGGAAGGTCAGGAGAAACTTCTCATTGGGAATTTTGAATCTCACCAGGGGGATGGTTCAGGTTCTTACCTCGTTTCACTCCATTACCTTCAGCGTTGGGGTATTAAAAATATATGAGTGACATAGAATAGAAATAATGATAACATGTTGCCGTTATTTCTGACTGTATTTCAGAGAATTCTCCCTACCTCTGAAGCCTTTTTATTGCTGATGAAACTCGACTTCAGCCAGAGAAATCTTCTCATTCGTGTTACTGTGAGGTATTTCAGGCCCACACTTGTGAGCAAAAGTGATTGCGGGGCAGAGCCAGCTCTGTGAGTTAAAATGAAATCTAGCCACGTGAGTGAAGCTTAGAATTTGCAGCATGACCTTTAGTGCTAGAAGTAGACCCTCCAAAGTAAAAGGTAGGGGCTAGCTCTCAAATTAATCACTTCTTTTCACCTTTTATATATTATAATGGAATTATATACAGTTGAATTGAAATAGTAGTTTTGCAAGATTATGAATATGCATCACATATTATCCATTCAAAAAGTAATAATATAGCGTAAAAGATACGTATCTGGTTATTATTTTCTGCATCTATAGCATTAGTACTTACCTATATCAATATTGAAAGTTTTAGTATAATAATGCATTAAAACTATAGCAAACAACATCTTGTCAACTCTGATTACAGTGTGGGATACTCAAATTTTCCTTGTCACGCCATTAGAAAGGGCTGAACTACATGAACAAACAAAAAGTTGACAAGAGCAGATGAATGGCCTGGTCACGGATTGCTTCTCAGAACCCCTGCCTGATGCTGCCACAGAGCAGGATCTTAGTGGGCATCCGTGTATATAATGCCATTAAGAGGGTAAATTTTCTCTAGCTTGTAATTTCAAGTGAATGCCTATTTCTAGTTATCTGGTACCTAGAAATTACATAAGTGACTTTATCCTTCTGCTTTATTTCAAGAGTAAGCCTGCCCAATCTGTATGTCTCACTACCTTCTGCAGCAAGCAGGCTGCATGCAAGCCGCGCTGCTCAAGCCCCGAAACTTGTATCTGAAGCTTGAAGGTGCCTGCTTGCTGCTCAGGCCCCTGCCTTATAGCTGACCCACACTGGCTTTTGTATTCATGCATATTCTGCAGGAGTCAGCATGGGTATTCCCCTGGATCCTGATGTCCTGTCAAAGACAACAATCTGATAACACCCACTGGATAAAGAGAAACAATGCAGGACGGTTGTGATTATACGTGATCCCTATCCCTACATTTTTATCTGGCAGAAGATAAAAGATAGCAAATTTCAGAATTTCAGTTCATTGAAAAAGTCCTAGCTACTAATTTAGGAGTCAGTGATTAAAAAAAGCATTCAAACAGCTTTGTATCTTACCTTTTCCCAGCAATTTAAATTAAATTTATTCTATTTTAAGTTGTTAAAAATTTTATAACATTGCACAATTATTTATTTACTGTAACTGCTTTCGGTAGTGTATAAACTTAGAATAAAAGACTAATAACCATCAGATGCAATCATTTGCTAACATGGTACTGCCTTCAATTCTAGAGCTGTTAGTATAGGTGACATCGTATGTAAGAGCTAAACCAATAGAAAAATAATTCTGAAGTTAAGTTTAGAATTGAACACAGTAATTGAAAGCAAGTAATAAAATATCATTTTGAGTTGGAATTGTTATTAAGTATTAAACTTACAGTAACTTACATAACAGTAGCTTCATTTTGGCATTTATCTGGTATTTTAAATTAAATGTATGTTTTTTAGCAGTCTAAGTTGTAAGTAAACATTATTTCAAATGATAAATAGTTGAATTTTTGTCATTCTAAATAAGCTCCACCAAACTTGCTTAATTAATCTACTTTTGAATTTTCAAGTTTACTCGGAACTTCTTTTTTTTTTTTTTAATTTATGTTCCTATTCACTTTGCTAGTTCATAGAGTTACTGGATTGTCTTCCTCATGTAAATAGTGAAAGTGATACTATCCCCTTTAATCCACCTGAATCACAGGAATTAGATCTTCAGACTGCGGTGATGACCCTAAATTAGGTGATAGATTTTGTTAAGTGGCCCCACAGAGCAGCTCTGCAGAGAAATGCTTGAAAGTTAATGTGTTCCACTGAGATGAGAAGTGTGTCTTTGTCCTTGGGAAGCTGCAGTCTGTCCAGGCAGTGACCTTCTTGGAGCCGTCCCATTTCTCAGGTAACATGAGCCATAGAGTAATGTCCTTATAGGATCTTTCAGGCATTAAGTATCATCACCTCACAGTGTTATCGGCAGTTCGAAGTTATCAGTCACTTTTGTCATGTCTGTAAGTACATAGAATGCCAGTACCTAGGAAGAGCAGAAGAATCAAATTGTTCATTTGGTTTCATTCACAAAGTAGGAAGTATGCAAACTTTTGAAGAGGAAAAACCTTGAGATTCTACAGGAGCGAGCAATGTACGTAGAAACTGCTGATGACAAAGAGTGAAAGAAGTACCTTTTACAGAATATTATAGGATAGGAATGTTTGCTGCTATCTTTTGCTGTTATCATTTGCTGCAATCAAACAGCAGTCAAATTATTATGAAGCAGTTTGTCACCTTTTCTTGCGGTGTCAACTTTTTACTGGTTCATAAACTTTTTTACACTCATTAATTTAGATGTGATCTTCAGACTGTGCTTTAAAAGGCCACTGGAACATCCATTTCTCTCTAATACATACTATATGGGATAATATGCTCCCCAAATACAGTTTACATTACAGCTGTATTTTTTTCTGTTGAGTTCATTTTTGATAATTGTATGGTAGTTTTTTTTTGAATACATCTTTTACATTATAATATCATTAAGTTAATATGCTGCATTTAAAATCCAGTTTGTAAATGTATTTGGTCAGATTCTGAATTGGTGCAAATCAGTGTACAGCTCCTGATTTCAGTTGCATTTTATTGGTTTGTGCCAGCTGAAAATCACTAATATTTCAGCATTAAAGATTACATTAACTCTCTCAGAAGAAGGCAATACATTGCGACCACACGAATGTATTTCTAAGACAGTTATTTGTCTGTAATTAAGGTGGCAAATTTTAATCTATTGAGTATTTCAACATGGTGCTCTGTCTACATATTCTGGACCCCATACATTAGTTTTCTGATTTATGACTGTACATTGCCTAGAGACATGTATGTACCCAGCAGTGTACATATGTATGCAGTATGCTTGCCTTCTGTAAAGTTATCAAATGTTAACTCTTTTTCTTCAAAGGACATTTATACTGTGTAGAGATCATCTGGTATTTTTAAATTAAGATGAGTTATTAATGTGTATGTGGTTTTGTAGATCACTTTGTTCTCATGTTTACATTAGCTGTGACCTTGTATATTATTTTATTTATAGCCTTCCTTTCTGTCCTCATTTCAGGAACTCTATGAAGTGTTCTCTTTTTCTGTTTGTCTCTGACTAAGATTCTCAGTAGTTCTTGAAACGTGTACGTTTGTGAATAAGAACCAGATTTTCTTCTTAGTTCCTATTTTTTACTATTTTATTTTTTGGAAAAAAAAAAAAATAGCCTACCAAGTGTAGGAATTATTAGACTTCCTGGTTTTTGTTTCAAGGTTCTTTCTTATTTCATGCATTTTATATAAAGCTGGAAGAATCTCTACCAAGTCTGAATTTTGACCTCTTGGTGAAACTCTGAAACCAACGAATTCTAAGGAAGCTTTGCCATTAATATAACTCAGGATTTATTTTGATCTGGGACATTAGGGCTCTTTAGTTATTGAAATGCCCTAATCTTGCTTTCAATTGAATGATAATTTCATGAGGTATTTTGAAAAGCACAACTCAGTAAAGAAGGCTTAATCCATTCTAAGTCATCCTTTTACCTCCTTTGCTGTAAGGATATTTTTGTAATTAATGGCCATAAAGCTATCTTTAAAGTTTATTTTGTATGTCATCTGTGCTTGAAAACATGTACATGCACCTTCTATTCTGATACCAAAGAAGAAAATGCAGTTAATCAAAAACCTGGGTTTTCTACCTGTACAGGCATGTTTAGAAGGTTTTAGTAAGCAGGCCTATGTTCGTACCACATTGAGATCAATTAATGTATCAGTGGTCTTTATTTTTGCTGGGGTAGGATCAAAATGTGCAAATCCCTGTAGAGAAAAAAAGCATCATTAAGTAAGCTTCAAATGTGAATCCACAATGAGTATAATATTATGTATGTTAATTAAAGAAGGTTACTGTAAAATAAGCAGTGGTGTTTCTGTTTGCTATGAATGAGATTTCCAACATTGTTTTGGTTAAAAAAGAAACAAATTCTTGTTTTTTTGTTTTTTTTTTTTTAAGAAACGACAAGCAGGCAAGTACATTTGTAAATGGATTCTTAATGAATTGTAGGTGGTACGTGGACACTTTCCTTGTGGATGAGAAACAGCATGTAAGTATTGCACATAACAAATCATGTGTTTTCTAAAGAAGCGTCTTGCATTTCTGGTGCATTCGTATGTCAGTACTTGGTTTAGCCCAGCGATGGCTCTTATGTGAAGAGTAACTATTTGAAATAAAGAGGAGGTGGCCACTGTAAGACAATCTGAAGAGATGAAACCTGCGACTGTCAGTGCCTAAATAGTACTTTTTGCTTGTGAAATGGAAATTGGAAATGGAGTTTCACTTGGATTTTAGTGGTGATGCTTATATGTGTGTATACAATTGAGCACGTGTGCTGTGGCACGCACATACTGGGTTACTGGCTCAGGATTCTTCTTTCCTGGATGTAACTTTGCAGTGAACCATAGTGAAGCAGTGGTGAGAACAGCTTGTTTGAGTAGGGCTGAATGGAAGGAACTATTGAGAGGGAGCAATAGTGACGCATGGACACATGGACAGAGAAAGTAGGTGATTACTGTATAATAAACATGTTTTTTTTCTCTCTCTGGCCTGTAGGAAATTTGTTTCAAAGTATATATTTTTTTTTTTTTTTTTTTTTTTTTTTTACTGTTTTGTTCTATTTTTGTGTCTTTTTCCACTTAAATTAGGAGTGCTATTTTTTTTAGTATGCCTTTTGGTAGCTGGTCTGTCAATCCATCATATTGTTGGAAAAAACAAAAAGCAGAAAAACAGTATATAGAGAGAAGATTTGCATACAGTTTGCTGTAAATAGAATCCCACTTCTCTCTGGAGAAATCATTCAATAGAACGAGTCTTCTGTGTGCAAAGCAAACGTTGCTCTCTGCCACTGCTGGCAGCTGGATAACTTCTCCCTCCTTCTGTTAACATGCTGCCCTCTAGAAGCAGAAGAAATAAAGGAAGGTGTTTTGATCAGCCAGCTCTGGTTTACCCAGAACTAGGTGCAGAGGAACCTGCTGGAGGGTAATCCATGCTCTTCACAGCAGAGTTGTGATCTTAAGTACGGTGAATGTTGCAATCAGTGAATGTTTTTCAGCTCTTCTGCGTGTGAACTACAGCCAGCTTAAAAGAAGCACAGAAGTGGAAATATTATAGAAAGGTGGTTTTTGACAATGAATGAGGCATTTTAAAAATTAGCTCCTATACTGCCTCGTTAGTGATAGGCGTACTGAGTTTTCCAAATTGCAGACTTTCTGCAATTTAAACTACTAAGAAATTGCCACTAATTGTTTGGGCACAGAAATGCATTCCTTGCAAAAGGTCACTGTTTCATGGGCATCTGAGCAGATCCTTTGGTAGGACAGCGTGCGGGACCTCCTTCTTGTTCTGCTGCTAACACTCTTGTTTTTACACTCCCAGTGTAAAGTTGAAGCTGGCAGTCGGATAAGGGAGCACGTACAGCCTGTCTGGTGCTGATGCATGGCTTGTGGACATGTCCACCAGCTGTCTGCAGACTTATGTCATGTTAGCTGAAAGAGCTGGATCTCAGACTGAGTTACTTGGGTCCACTGAATTAAGGCACCAATGCCCATACGTGGTAGAGATCAATCAGGACTTTGCTCAGGACAGGGAGTGCCTCGGAAAGGTAAGAGAAAGCCTGATCTAGGTTTGTTTTCTTAAAATGACATGGATAATGTATGTATTATTGGTTAAGAAAAAAAGAATAAACATCATTCAGCTTTTAAAAGCAGTGTAAAGAGAAGTTTTGGGATGAGATAAGGAATATCAATCACAAAGCTACCATGAGGGCATTTTCAGAGGTAAGAAATGGATAGCGAAGAATAAGAACAATATAACAATTATAATGTCCTTAGACATACAATATCTGTGTAACTTTAACCAGTCCTGTAAGTCTTCAGTGCAGCACTGGGAGTACATGTGCAGCCCTGGGTTATGGAAGGAGGCATGCCCTATTAGAACCCACAGAGTGACCGGTAAACAGAGTGCTCTGTTAGACTCTGTTTTCATCACTAGTCTTGAAGGACGACAGAGAATCCTTCACAGACCATTTTCTAGAGGAAAACGTAGTTACTTTTGGAGAAAAAAACAACTGAAGTTTGTGGAGGTAACGTTCATAGAGATAGATGGCAACAGGAGCAGCAAGATGGGTGAATCCTGAGGCACCAGGGGGACTAATTACCTGGAAAGGTTTCAGCAGCAAGTCCCTATCAGAATGTTTTTACAGAGAGCAAAGCTGTGTAGAAACATGAGTGGAGACTGTCTGCAGCTGCACATCTGAGAGGTTCTATTTGAGATTTAAATGCTTTTAGACTTTCCACTGCTGTATCACAGTGTGATGTACTGTATCAAAGCTGCTTCTTTCCATCATTTGCCATTATCATGCAGGGTTTTGTAGCTTCAACATAGCTGATAGATGTGATCTGATACATCACAAGGAGATGCGTCAGCAGGAACATCTGAAAACGACACAATTTTCTTAAATGCTGTGGTTACAAAAATGTTCTTCTTGTGAGATATTTTAACATAAAAGTGGAAGTATTTTGAGGAGGATGGTGCTGAGACCTCTTTTGGGGATATTTGGGGAACTTTAAAAACATAACTTTGCAACAGGAACATATAAGGAAGGATTAAGCAGATATTATCAGACAGAGAATTCTCTTTTTGGTAAGTTTTATATGATTTTGGCAACAAGAAAACAAAATTTTTGTGGTCACCGGGGATTCTTTGTTTATGGCCACTCAGCACACATAGCTGTCTGCAATCCAGCAGTCTTGTAGACAGAGAAAGCTCCATAGAATAACTGGCAAGCTGTCTTTTCATCTCTAAAATCCATAATGCATGTATATACATACTGTTAATAAATAATTCATACTAATGGAGAGCTCTTGCCCAAGAGCACATTTCCCTATCACAGAAAATGAATTGTTTAATGATGTCTAGGATAGATCTAAGTAGATCTAAGTGCTGCCATTATAGAACCGTTCTGTCTATGCAGTGCACACTTCTGTAAACAGTCACTGCAGTTTAAGAAGAGTGAAAATAAAGACCATAAGACTATTTAAACAATATGCAAAGTAAACCTCTTTATTTATTTATTTATTTATTTATTTTCTAGAGCCAAAATACCAAGTGCTCTCAGTGTCAAACATTCTTTGATAACCTTCAAGGCTGACCCTAGTGCTGCTGGAGATAAGCAGTATGGATGAACTTCATGATAGACTGGACTTAAGTTAGCAGGTGGGCAAAACTCTGTTTTGGAGTGATAAATGTCTCAGTTGAGATGTAGAAAGGAGTCTGGGACTGCTCAGTCTGGTGCTGTCACTGAGTGGAGAGTGGCTTTCAAGACTCAAGCAGAGGGAGGCGCCTACTGTGTCCGGAGTGTTGACAAAATGCAGGGTAAAGAGATGGCAGTGGATGTGTTGCAGAGGTGGGTGAAACCACAAGGAATGGGAAAGGGGCCATTACCGCCAAATATTGTGAATTTACTAGGTCCTCTGTGTGCTAGGCAACTGATAATTTTCATGTTTCTCAATACGAGATAGGATTTTGTTCTTCCTCGGAAGTAAATAATAATGGAAGACTCAATAGTGAGTGAAATCTTGTTTTTCAAACCTCAGCAACTGAGATTTTCCTCATGAGAGTAGGAGCCTCAATCACCTTTGTAGTGCTGTGTCCTGCTAGAGCTCTCTCAGAGTGTCCTCCACAGGAGATGGCTTCTGGTCATCACAGGTGAGCGTGTTATCCAGGTACCTGGCAGACTGAGTTTCTCATGTCTTACATGTGCTCATTTTTTCCTGCACTTTCACATATCTCTGGTAAAAATGCACTATTTCAGTTTAGAGTTCCTTCAGACTGAAGTTGTTTTTCATCACATTTTAGTTACAAATATTTCCAGTGTTCTCTCTGGGGTAATTCCACTTTCCCCCCCCCCCCTTTTCTACTAAGTGATTACTTCTTATTAGTACACAAGATTATGTCTGTGTTGCCTCTGAAACGGAATTAGATTCCAGCAAGCAATGTGTGGCTCTCTTATGTGCTATCAAATACATCAATAGGATAGGAGTCTTTTGCTTTTCAAGATTCTTTTAAAACATTTATAAACAGGTACTGGATTGACCTAAAATCATGCATTTTTTTCTGCTCATCTGCAGTATCTACATCTGCTTGAGTTGCTCCGAATGTCTTTGTAGCTTGAACTACTCTGTCAGTACACTTGTGGTTCTGTGAGTAATTTTTTATCTCAGAAATCTCACGCTGAGGTCTGGATAATTGATTTTTGCAGACAAACTTTTCAACTGGGTCTATGTTTGACAGCTTTGTGCATCTTAGGGAATTTCCAAAGCCATTAAAAGGCTCTGAATGCTCTTTTTGACTCTATGTAAAAAAAAAAAAAAAAAAAAAAAGTTTTGAATTTTCTCTTTCCTCAAATCTATCACGCTGCTTATCAGTCTCATGAACTCAGCCATTTCCTTGGGGTTTTAGCATAATAAGCTAAATTCAATTCTCACTTCCTCGTAACTCTGTGGTCTTGTGATGCTCTTTGTCAGGCTAAAGCAATGTTTTTTTAAAGCTACCAGTACCTCAGCTGGAGAAAAAGATGATGAAAAATACACCTCTCTTCATGGGGATTCGTTTTGCATTGCAAAATGCAAAGGAAAAAAAAAAAGTAAAAATACCTCTTCTTGCTGTTGGCTTGCACCTGAGGTATGCAGCCTTCTAGTTGCATTTTGGGGGTTCGGAAAGGATTTCTGTTACTGCTAGACAAATGTGGATCTTCATGCTTCGGCACATGCAGGATCCTGGAACTGTTGTTATACTGTGAGGAGTGTGGGTTG